GTCCTAATGTTTAGCTCAATGGGCCTGTAACACAATTAGTTTCACGACGTGTATTAGATGGAGTTTGATACATTAATTGCGTAGCTTGCTCCTAATTGTGTGTCGGTTTACCTGGCAAATTATGCACAGGGGGAGTGTCTATTGTAGTTTCCCTAGTGATTACGGAGTTCCGAATAGATGGGGTCTTAAGTAGCTAGGGGTGACTGATGAAAGAATGACGTACGGGCAATATGAATGAGTGTTGATATGAAAGTGAGAAGGATGAAATAGAAAGGTAAAAAATATGTAATCATCACAGTGTATTTGGTTTGAAGTGCGAGGGGTGTATAACAGGAACCCTCGAATGATTATAATATCTCGCATATTTGAGTTTATGTTGAATGAGAGGGAGACACGGCATTTTGAATTTTTGACACAATATACCTATTGGGTGCAACTTAGTCAATGGCAAATGTGAACTTGCCTTTATTCATTACCGACTTCAAAAAAAGGAGGAGGTACTATGTTCGGCTGATTTTTTTTTTTTTTTTTTGTTTGTTCGCGCAGTACTCCGCCGTTTGTGGACCGATTTCAAAAATTTTTGTTTTGTTTGAAAGGGTATACTCCCGAGATGGTCCCATTTCCATGAAGTCAGGATCTGATGATGGGATCCTAGGGAAACCGAGGGGAACTTTCGAAAATTCTATGGGGGAGTAATGCGTCTATTATGTTTTTCAATTACGAATTTTAAACACTACAATTTAATAAGGGTCTGGAGTCGACCTGATGATGGAGTCGACAGACAGTCGAGGGAACTCCTCAGCGGTTTATATTAACTACCTTGTGTTTGGGCTTGATTAATTTGTATTGATGAGGACTTTACACCTAGATAGAGTGGGGCTGTCATAAAGGGTCTGATGATGAAGAAGTGTAATTTGTTAAGGGAACTCCTTAACGGTATACAGTAACTACCTTGAGTTTGGGCTTGATTAATTTGTATTGATGAGGACTTTACACCTAGATAGAGTGGGGCTGTCATTAAGGGTCTGATGATGAAGAAGTGTAATTGTTAAAGGAACTCCTCAACGGTATACAGTAACTACCTTGAGTTTGGGCTTGATTAATTTGTATTGATGAGGACTTTGCACCTATGTATATTATAAGTAGCAAAACGGGTATATGTAGCTTTACACTGAAAATGGTAAAATAATAAAATAAAAACTGCGTTTAAAAAACCGACTTCAAAAACCAAAAACTAATAACAAACAAAAAGTCAATACTAAAAAGCAAAAAATAACTATTATTAGTACTGATAGGTTACCCACCCACTGATAGGTTTGAAGTCGGTGCCATAAGCTCATATCATAATGATACTTATTACATTATGAACTTAATGTCCACAAAGTTGTGAATTAGGTACCTACTAAGGTTTTAATGAATAATTTTGTATGGAACTTATGGCACCGACTTCTTACCTATCAGTGGGTGGGTAACCTATCAGTACTAATAATAGTTATTTTTTGCTTTTTAGTATTGACTTTTTGTTTGTTATTAGTTTTTGGTTTTTGAAGTCGGTTTTTTAATTTACCAGTGGAGTTAACATCTTGCTTATTGAGCTTAAAATTTAAGAATTCACGAAAAAGACGGCCTTTTATTACATTAAAAAATTAAATAAATTTCAAAACAATTTTAATGGTATATCAGTTCCGTATACGGCAGCGCACTTGACCATTTTCTCAGAGGGGGACTGTTAGGGTGGCATAAACCCTAGTCTCCCTATACCACCCCAGACTCGCTGGACTTCCCATATTTAATATAATTGCTACTTTATAGTACCTACGTTGATTTACGATCGATAACGCTTGCATCTTTGATGTTTACTGCGTTCTCACCCATACCACTGCCCAACTACTAAGTAGGGGGTGAACCAACCACCCTCCAATATCTTTAATTAAGCGAGGCACTTACTTTGTAGAATATTACGTAGAAACCTTTTCAAAGAGCTGAGAAAAGCTTTGAAAATGCTTCTCATTTAATTACAACAGCGTCTGTTTTGCTCGCTTTTTACAAAGTTTAATTTTTAATATTATGTTGGCATGAACTGCATTGTAGGGGGTTGAGAAATGCCTCGTGGAAGAGGAGCGGTTTGTTTCTTCTTTTGCGTTTGTTTACTGAGAGTTGTATTGAATAGCCTAGGAGGCTTCGCGCACTTTTACACTTATTCCTTGTAATTTACTGTTAGCTTTACTTTTCTCCCTGTAAGTGTACGTTTTCTACTATTCGCGACCCTACGAAAATCTACTGTCACGTCGAATACTCTATCATTCTTCAACACTACTGGACTTACTCCCAATTTTAATAACTGATTTCAATCTAAAATATGTGAAATAAGGTCGATTTTTGCTAAATCCTCCATGAAAGTAATGTTGAGAATCGATCCTTATCAATAGATTTTAGCTTGAGCGAAGTTATTGAAATTGGAACCGTAAATACGAAACTATGTTAGAATGTGCTGTCATAGTATAAAACATACCTAATGAATAAATAATATGAACCTAACATCTGTGACCAATGAATCATTAAATGTTTGCTCGATCCGTTTACAATTTATCTACATAACATGAGTCACTGAAATTATGGAGAATACAATACTTTTGTTACTAACGTACAATTGAGCATCGGTAGTTAATTATTGTTAGAAAATCCAATCAAGCATCTGGTATATGTGATGTTTTCATTGGATTTTCGACTTAATATCGTAGGTAACAAAAGTGATGGTGTGTGTCTTTCACTTATGTTATACCTAGCTTCATACTATTTTGTTGGAAGCGCATGTCAACAGATATAACCGCCTTGTATACTCCCCTGGGTGTGCCAGACGTTTTCAACATACACCTAACTAGGCATTTAACTAGGGGAGCATCCCCCCAAGCAGGTATACGGTAAACACATGCCTATAAAGCCGATTGAAATTACAAATTGTAGATGAATCAAACACAACACAAAGACTTGGTTTCAAAGTAATTATTCTATAATGTAATTACAAATTACAAATTGGAATACAACACAAAGTCTTGATTTCAAAGTAATTATTGTGTATTGCTTCTTGTAAAGATAAACTCGGTCTGGTTATGACAATTCATATTAGTAGTCAATACGCTTATTTGCGTGTGTGTTTAATCCGTTGCCAATTTTATACACAATGTAATGGAATAAGGTTTATTTCGTTTGATATGCTTGGTTTCCAAATTTTTCCATAGGATCGTAACACTATTCAAAATTCTTAGTAACTCAGTCTGGATTCGTATCAATTGTAACAAACACCTTATATCTTGAAGAAAAAAATATTAAAGTAAGACGAAAAACATCTAAATCCTCTTAGCAAAGGTCAATAAGACGAAAACAACTCATTTAAGTGTCTATTCTATCTCAATATTGAAAAATTCTTTATCATTTTCCAAATGCCAATCTACTTCAATGTACTTTCACATTTTTCATAGAATTAATATCATTTTTGCTGTCGAGTATTCTTCAAAAAACATAATTGGTCTCAGGTACCTCTTAAGTATACTTATAAAGAAATTAATAATCGTATTACAGATTTTTACAAGAAAATACATAAAAGGTTCTTTGAATATTGCTAATAGGTTGCCAATTAAAAGTAAAACATAGAAATGTATGTGGGTGGGTGAACCTTGTTCCTATATTGATGTACCTCTTGTGACAAGTTACTGAGCTTATTAGTCCAGTCGCCGATCAAATTGCTTTGGAATTCGTCACTTACTCATCTTATAATTATGTGATACTTGCTTTTACCCGCGGCTTCGCTCGCGTCACAAAAGAATAAAAAGTAGCCTATGTGACATATACCAATACATACAGCGCCATCTATATCAATACTTTTGTTTTCCCTCGGGAATATCAAATTTTTCCGGGATATAAAGTACCCTATTTTTTAATCCGGACTTCTAACTTTACGTCTGCAAAAATTCAAAGCGGTTTAGTAGTTACGGCGTGAAAGCGGAACAAACAAACTCACTTTCTGATTTATAATAATATTATAGTAAGGATGATACAGATATTTTTATAATTTGGATCACCTCTATCCCTCTTCCTTACAGTAATTCGGTTGAAACTTATTTTAATATTAAATTTTCACCTGCTTTTAATTGTATGGTGACAAAAGAGTAGAATCTATTTGTTTTAGTAGTATGCATTTGTGTATATAAGCTTGAATTTGTCGTGCTCACTCAAAGGTCTCAACAGAGGTGGCACGTGCATTGGATCGCTCGATTCCCTGCAATATGGTTGAGTTCGGCGGTGCTTGTATACGTGGTCATGTTCGTGAATAGGCGCCGTCAACTGCTGCTGGTTAACTCCAGACTGTAAATATTATTTTTATGGTCTATAAATTTTGTTTTTCGATCTTTTTGACTGGATTTTGGTGTTACATTGTTCTTACACAACTGAACTAACAGAACTATGTGACTTAAGAATTTTGTTATAAACCTGATTGATAAAGAGCTATGGAGCTTCTTGCTCTTTCTTCTTTATAGGTATCTACACCTTGAAATAAACAAATAGCTTCACTTTTAAATTTTTTTGGTGCCGTTCAAAGTGCCTTCCTGATCTAATTGAAATAAATGATTTTGACTTTGACTGTGAGAGCCATGTTTGGGTTGGGCTGGGTCGATGGATGTGATACCACAGCCTTACAGAAAACCGACGCGGAACAACACTTGCGGTGTGTTTCGTCGTGTGAGTGAGGTTACCGGAGCCCCCCCTTCCCAATCTCCCCAATCCCCGAATCCCCAACAATCCTGGCCAGAGGCCAAAAGGCCAGTAACGCAACGAAACTCCAGAGGTTACCTTTGGTGTTTCGGATGTCCAAGGGCGGCGCCGATTGCTTACCATCAGGATCACCTGCCGACGGCAGACGGATCACCGTCTGCTCGTTTACCGGATATTTCCATAAAAAATTTTTAAATATTACCTGTTAAATATCTGTTATCTCGTTTCAGGGTTCGTTATCATTGGTCTAATAGTGGTTGGTGTAACGGATGCCCTGTACCAATCAGCTGGCGAGGCCAAAGGTAGGAACAGCCTAATCACCGGAGACCTGCTCATCATCGTCGCCCAAGTAATCTCAGCCTGCCAAATGGTGTACGAAGAGAAATACGTCGCTGGTAAGTTGTATTTAAAAATTTGTGCTTCCTAAGGTATTGGTTGTCAATTTAATGCAGTATTTGTTCGACACTTCTTATTATTATGATACAGTTCGTGGATGCAACCACTTTTATGTAGCTTAAGTTTTTTATGGTAGACGGTGTGCGTATTGCCATATATGGATTTTATAATTGGACTGCCTCGTTGGCCGAGTGGTCGCAAGTGCGACTGCCGGGCAAGGAGTCTCGGGTTCGATTCCCGGGTCGGGCAAAGTATTACTGGGTTAAAAAAAATCTCAGTAGTAGCACGGAGTCTGGATTGTGTCCGGTATATGGCGATAGGCTCACCCTCTATTACATGGGCCTCGTAACATAAATAGTGAAAAGTGGGTGTTATATTGTACAGTGGCATAATGTGCACCTCTGCCTACCCATTGGGGATAAAAGGCGTGATGTTATGTGTAATTGGAGTAACGAGGCAAATGACTGTTAATGTTAGTTCGACCTGTATCGTAATAAAATCTAAATATCGGAATATATAACATGCGCTTCTAAAAGCTGTATCATCATAAAAGGTAATAAAATTGTAATGTAGTAATCTAGTGATGACTAAACAATAAATTATGTTACCATTTAAGCAAGTATGGATTAATTGTTTCCTTTACAATTTTGTCACCTAGTGCTATAAATAAAATGAAATTTTTCATGTCTTTGAAGCACGTGTTGTTTCAATCTACCGTGTAAGTTTACATGCTTACAAGCTATGGAACATTAAATGTTTCTTATTTGTTGAATAAATTTGTTTAAGATAAACTTACCAACATAACATAACATCACGCCTTTTATCCCCGAAGGGGTAGGCAGAGGTGCACATTATTCCACTGTACAATGTAACACCCACTTTTCACTATTTATGTTATGAGTCCCATGTAATAGGGGGTGAGCCTATTGCCATATACCAGGCACAATTCCAGACTCCGTGCTACCAATGCGAATTTTTAATCGAACCCGAGATCCCTTGCCCGGCGCACTTGCGACCACTCGGCCAACGAGGCAGTCTCTTACCAGCAACTTACCAACATAACACACTATACGTTGTTTTTTATATTCGTCGGAGACAAGAATAAAAGAGTATATATTGAAAGTAAATATCATATTTGTAAAGTAGGCGCTATAAGTAGTCTGAAGCAAAGTGTGTCTAGTCTATATAGCGCCTGTGGGATTAAAATACAATGGGGCCTTTGTGTCTAAACGTTTCTTTAAAAAGGTAACGTGCGGTGACGATTATTTTACACCACCGATCATTCATGTACCTGGTGATGGCGCTAAAAAAAATCCTAAAGTCTATAGAGATTATCCCTTACAAGTAGTCTTATGATACTCAAGCTACTGCTCTAATATTTCCAGGTCTTAACATTCCACCTCTGCAAGCTGTAGGATGGGAAGGTGTCTTCGGTTTCTCGGTACTGTCTTCGCTCCTGGTCGTGTTCTACTGGACTCCTGCCCCTCCTCACTTTGGCAACAATGCTCGAGGCACCGTCGAAGATGCTATTGATGGACTGGTACAAATCGGTGAGTACGACGCCATGGTTGAAGAAATGGTATGGTTCTTACAAAAATAAATCGCCCGGTTTAAGACGCCCGCTTCTCATGCATGAGACTGGGTTTGAAACCTACCAACGGCAAGTAGCAATGTTACTTTTTGCGACTTATAGTATATACTAGCTTTTACCCGTGGCTTCGCTCGCGTCACAAAAGGATAAAAAGCGCCATCTATACCAATACTTTTGTTTTTCCTCGGGAATATCAAATTTTTCCGGAATAAAAGTACCCTATTATTTAATCCGGACTTCTAACTTTATGTCTGCAAAAATTCAAAGCAATCGGTTTAGTAGTTACGGTGTGAAAGCGGAACAAACAAACAAACTCACTTTCCGATTTATAATATTAGTAAGGATTATATTATATGAGAGTAGAAGATTATTCAGACACCACTGACAAACGGTAAACGAAAACATCGTGAGAAAACCTGAACTTATAATTTGTAATTATAAGTTTGAAATCGCCAACCCGCGTTGAACAAGGTCACAAGAAAGATTAATTTTTTGGTTCAAGGTTTTGAATATCGTTGGTTGACGAATATACGATGGTTTTGGTCTTAAATAATACTAATCTTATTTTACCGACAAACTCAATATACACGAAAAAAAAATTAAGACTTTGACTGCCAATAAAAAAACTGTCGAAGGTAAATCCTCCGCTAACGCCGGTCACCGGTGACCCCCATGGCGTTTAACGTGTACTTTACAAACTTCAATTCTTTACCTTATCGTAGTCACTTTGGTGTTCCTCAAGGAAGTATCTTGGGTCCCATGCTGTTTCTCGTCTATCCACAATATGATCCCAATGAACTTCCTTACGCAGTAAATCAGGATTTCATTTTGTTTTATAATAATAGTAATATTATAAAACAAAATAATAGTAATATTATAAAACAAAATAAAATACGAAGTAACTGTCGTATACCCAATAATACTACTGTTATATGGTTTTGTTAGTATTCTGATTCTACGCACGTGTTGCATCACATTTGTAGCTAAAGTACTATTGTAAAGCTCACAATAGCAGCACATTTTATGGTGATTTTATCATTTAATATACTACTTATGCCTTTTATTTCATTTCTTCGTTTCACACTTATTAACGACACACGCGTTGAAAGAAGTAGGTATATCTTATTAATATTTCAGTACTATATAAAATGTCATTAAATCTCTGTTATGATTGACTGAACGTGATAAAATACTACAAAAATATATATTACAATGTTCGTTTACTCCACTACATTACATTTTGCAGGCAACAACCCCCTGATCTTGGTAGCAACTTTGGGCACTATCATTTCTATTGCGTTCTTCAACTTTGCCGGTATCAGCGTCACCAAGGAAATGTCGGCTACTACTCGAATGGTCCTGGATTCTATCAGGTAATCGGTGGTTTTTAAGCTTGAATAGGATTTCTTCACATTTGAAGACTTTGTCCCCTGGTCCAGAAAAAATGATATTTAGAAAATACACCATACTTTTTTTATGGCATTTGCCGGTAAACGAGCAGACGGATCACCTGATGGTAAGCAATCGGCGTCGCCAATAGACACCTGGAACACCAGAGGCATTAAAAGTGCGTTACCGGCCTTTTGGGGATAAGGAGTTTGAGGATCGTTGGGGATTCAGGGATTGGGGAGATTGGGGAAGAGGAGGGTAATTGGGCCTCCGGTAATCTCACTCACACGACGAAACACAACGCGAGCATTGCTTCACGTCGGTTTTCTATGAGGCCGTGGTATCACTCCGGTCGAGCAGGCCCATTCGTGCCGAAGCATGGCTCTCCCACAAAACTCTAATACATTATGAGTATATTTCTTGTTGACAGTATTTTTTGTAACTTATTACGCGTATGGTGTATAGTGGAAGTAAAACCACGAGTAAAGTACTCGTTTGGGTTCATAGGTTCAAGTTCGAGTGTACTAATATTAATAACTATTTAGAATTAGGACCTCGCATAGACAGAACTTTGAAAAGAAGCAGTCAGCACGATCTCAATTTTGATTTCGTTAACTAAAGACTTTAAAATACGATAACAAATCCACAGAACGTTCGTGATTTGGATGGTGTCTCTGGCGGTGAGGTGGCAAACTTTCCACTGGCAGCATCTGATCGGGTTTGCCATCCTGATCTTTGGCTTGTGCGAATACAATGGCGTTGTACCTCGATGCCGTCGCGCCACTCCAGAGCCTCTCGCTGACGATGCCGAGAGCCAGGCCGTCGTCACCGAGCCTGAACCGACAGATCACGATACAGAGGAACAATAGGTAAAGCATTCTTTACCAATTCAGTGTCCACAACCATCATATCAAGCGCACACGAGAAATTTGGACTGGCCACTGAATTTGTAAAAGAATCCAAAGTGAGAAACGGTTATGCAGTGTATCTTATACGGGAACATTAATATTTTGATGATGTTTACTATAAAAATTAGAAAATTTAATGACTTTTCGGTAATGTACGGTTATGATACTCTTTGTAATGTTCACTCGGCAACGTGTATGTTTTATGTCTCAGTGTGCAAAGCTATACATGTGAAATTAATGTATAAAGAAGATTAGTTGGTGTTCACTGTTCACATACATAAAATTCCAAGACAAGTAGCAGATTAGTCTTCTTTCTTGTTCAATTAGGCTGTTAGATTTTTATGCGTAATATGAAATCGTTCTGTGTCACTCGTAACATGGCCGTTGTTATATTTATGACAGTTGTTACACATGATTCACTCCTAACTTGCCAATCAAATAAGAAACGATTTTCACTATAATGGAATCTTCATATATTTTATAGGACTATTGATGTTTAAATGATATAGAATGTATAATACAATGTATGTTAAATTATACAGCGTGAGTTTTAAACAACTGCTTTTCCGCAGTAGAACAATTTGCCCTCAATATGACTGTATTAAAACACAGTTTGATACGATGTTAAGGGAAAATTGAAATCATGTTTTGGCTAATGTGTTTCATGAATACAGTATAATATCAGGTGATTTACAAACGCGACAGCACTGACTTAATAGTCAGCTGAATGGCCTGCGCCGTTGAATAAACCGGCTCATGATGATGATGATTTTATCTAAAAAGATAGATCGATTACCATAATAGATTGTACCGAGACAAAATCAATGAGCCACGGGAGAGCAAGAAAACTCACGCTGTATAAACCTATATAGATGTTTGTTTTTATACATATTAAAAATATAATGTAATGTGTATTTTATATTACTATATTATATATATTATATTACAAGATTATGATAGATAGGATGGAATTTGTCAGTAACAAATCGAAGGAAAGAACGGTAGTCCAAATGGTGATAGGAAGTGATGTATTATACATTATATCATATACTTAATTAATATAATATTAATAAGTGTATATGAATAGTAATTATAACATTATACGACTAGTTTAAAACGTTGTTAACTTATAAAGAAGATGAATGAAATAAACCCGTAGATATGTGACAATAAAGTAACCGGTGCATCAACATATGATTTTAATAGTTCGCAAAGATTGCCTCGTTGGTCGACTGTTGTGTGTGACTGTCGAGCAAGGGGTAATTAATTCTCTGGTCAGGCAATATTATCGAGCTTTTCGATATTCGAAAGGCTCTATAATAGTAGGAAGTCGGGATTTAGACCTGGTTTGGCAATAGTAGTTGGCATATATAGTGCAACATTTTACATGTGCACACGTCTTGAGGTTATGCCTGATTCCAAAGGAACGGTTACTTTTTGTCCTCGTTTACTCGTTCCCTACACTCCATAGGCATTTGCCTCTAATGTGTTGTCCGTATAAGAATTTTAGAAAAGTATAAAAAACAGATCTTAGCTCAATTCGTGTAATTTTTTATATTGTAGGAACTAATGAAATAATCGATTATTATCAAGTGATTCGATGTCTTACATTTTATGTCTAAGTTTAAGGATTTCGGTGTTGTACCATTGTTGCGTACGCCACAAGCTAATATTGCACTGTTTTCGTAATCCAAGAACATTTTTCTTGAAGAGAATAATACAGTATACCCTGTCCGCGCCGCAATGGAACAATACCTTCGCAAAACTATCAGAACTAAAAGCAATATTACAGTTGTTATTAGATTATACACGCTGGTTAGGGAGCTAGCATACTAGTATTTACATTCAATAGTATAAGGTCTATTTTTGCTTCCATATAAATCTAATACATTTATTAGTAAAAAGTAGCTTCCAATCTGACAGGAAATTAAAATTACGACACCAATTTGTTATGAAGTACATAGATTTATTATAAGCAAGTAGTTGATTGAACACATTTGTATGGTATCGACCTGTGTGTTAGCCAACTGGCAATAAGGTCGTAAACTGAACATTTGATCTGTAATATAGAAGATCTCTTGTTTAACCTGACTGCCAATATAAAACGCACAATACAAAAAATACCTTATGTCTCATATAAGTAGATATATTGTCCAACAAACGACAGTTTGGAATGATATTATATCGAAAGAGTGCTAGAAACTTATCAATATGTTGTAACAAGTAGTAATGTTCAGGTAGGTACTTAATTATTTAGCTACGATTGCTAGGTATAAAAAGAATACTTCTCCAATCAGTGGCTTCCACTAAATCTTAACAGAATGGCAGGAGACGTGAATAGTACGTGACGTTTCGCCCCGACTTCAGTGAGCGTAGAACAAAATACCTAATACTTGTTACTGTTATAGTAAAATAATCGTTGTTTCATAGTTATCGAGTTTATTTTCTCAGGTTATTGTTACAGAATACGATATTATTATTTCGTCTCCAGCTTCCACGGTGATAAAGTTAGTTATTGTTTTAATTATGTGTTCGATTCACGGTTGTGCAATTGTTATTTTTTCTAGTTGCAAGCAAAATGTACAGTTTTATCGACTTCTTACATCTTCATCTTGATAGATTATAAAATATATTATTGGATACAAGTTATTCATACACCAAAGAACTTAATTATAATTAAGGACCAATCATAAGGAACTTTGATGGTAAGCAATAAAGACCTTTTTTGATAAACCAGATTTTTAGTGATATTTACATACATATATTAGTATATACTACCAAATAAGAATTCAAATCTAGCTCCCTAACCATACAAACAGATTATTGAAATATATTATACTAATATTATCACAAAAACGCATCTAAATGTATTGTAGCATCAATAGAGTGTAGTTAGCTGTTAAGAAGTAATTACTAATGCAAACGTGTTATATTATATTCCAAAAAATATATCAAAGAAGCTACGAAATATATTAGTTTGTAAAATTCCTAATACCCATGTCCCGAGCGAATAGTCACGTAATTAAAAGCAATAAAACGAAATATCACTGATTTTAAATAGATATAATAATTTATAGACCATTATATTATATTACTGTTCAGACTTCTTTACATATACATAATAAATACATCGATTGTTAACAGAGGATGACTTTTGAAATATATGAATGTTTTATAATAATAATATAATAATAGGTCGCTGAATGTCTAGATGTTTTTCAGATTATCTACAACACAATAATATTTCTGCTTGAGCACTAGTTTTCATTGTCTACTTCTAGTATATATAGTGGTCTAATTCGTCCGTCTAAATGTTTATCACGTCTTGTTGTCCAATAGCAACACTGTTATATTTCCTCGCACTATTATGTTAATACAATACATTAGAAGACGTCTATTATGTCCGTCAGTTAAATATTAAAATAATGTCATGTATTTATCGACCTAGGAAAATGAGGGAATGTATATATGATAGGAAAATCGGTTTTTGTGTAAAGAAAAAAATATTGCGGCTTGTCCCTTAATGTATGAGTCAGGTAGATCCCTTCAAGGATTATAAGTGACGTTGTTTATATAGAAAAAAGTACGTGCGTGGATGTATCTCCCTCAATCTACCAGACGGACAACAAAACAAAATTCATCATCCTTATTATAATCGCACATTGATTGTTACGTTGCACCTTGTCTTTTAATGATAGAACTTTCTCGAAATATGTAGGACAGAGACAGATGATGCATTTGTAAAATACTCGGATAATCATAATAATAATAAATGACTATTCGCGTATTTTTAAATCCGTCACCTGCCCCTGTTTTGAACCATTATGGCGAAACTTAATATTTTACTTAGTAATTTTAATATCTTTGATTAGATTCAACGGCTTACTTACGCAACTGTTTAATAACATTACCCGATTGGTTTCAAGCCACACAAGGGGCTTATAACCACGAACAGTGTAATATATGTGACGGCTAGAGAAGCCGACATGAATCAAATAGTTTCAAGCCACGCTTGTGGCCTATAATGAAACAGTTGTGTAAGACAGACGTTTAATTTCGACTTAATCAATGTCTTATTATATTCTGTGTTTATAAATAGTTGTTCGATTTTATCCAAATATCAAAAAAGAGCTCTACTATACAAGGTGTAGTTTTGAAGCCGTGTCATTTCTCGAGGGCCATGTCACAAAAGTCCTAAAGGTTTAATGTAAGAGAAAATTTCGGGCCAATAGTTAAAAATACGGCTATAATAAATCGTTTAAGTTGGACAGTATTTCAGAAAAAGCGACAGCAATGCTTCTTATTGGTGTTTTATGGAATTAGGAATAATATCAATTACGTGTTTGAGTTTGTGTGTGTTAAGCCGCGTTATAAAGCTGGTTACTAGACGGCGGTGTGTCGTTCACACTTACGGATTTCCGTAATTTACAGAAAATTGAAAAATATTTACCTACAATTTTTTTTATTGATTCGAACTCAGGAACGGCATCCGAGTTACCTCCTAGAAAATGACGCGGCTTTAAAACAACACCTTGTAGTTCATCCGGATTTAAACTGTACGTGCCAACTCTTAGTCCATAATACGTTTAGCCAATCGACTCAATACTTTGATAACATTTTATGCTATATTTATGCTATGTGCTTTTATAATCCTTCCATTTTTAATTGCAGTTTATTAAGCAGTTTAATATTGTATATTGGTGAGGTTTTTAAACGGTTTCATATTTGAAAGAAACTTAAGCTGATTGTGATTTATCATGGCGAATGCTTTTAATTGTTCTATTTGGTCGTTAAGGTACTAAAGTGGACAGTATTAAATAGACACATGCTATTGATGACTATAAGAACTATACTCAGAATTTTAATTCGATTCCAGATTTGACAATTGTTGTAACGTTATGACAAGTACTAAATAGTGACGTTGCGAAATTATTCGATATGGAAATGCAATATTTCTGGATCGATTCTTCTCGTTTATAATTTTACTCTCGTAAACTAAGTATATCAGGAAATTAAATATTTCTGAACCGATTATTTAGTTTTGACGATTAATTAACGATCCGAAACTTTTCTTTTATAATTGTGTGTGAAGTAAATAAAAAAATGTAATCATGAAGGAACATGACAAATAAAACAGATAGATGTGTTATGGTAATAAGTTATTTTATAAATTGTCGCCGTCATCGCTATCGCTATCCTGTCACTTTATTATAAAACACACACACTGATTGTTTATCGATTTTTGTGTGCATCACTACACTATTATATGTGGTATCATTATTTCACAAAATGACAGTAGCTATTGTCAAATCTGGAATCTAATTAAAATTCTTATAGTCTGATATACAGGACTCCCTACGCATACGTGTGTCCACTTGCTTCCATTTAATGCGAATCAAAAGCGATAACTGGAAACAAAAAGTGTCTTACGTTTGCGCAGCGCCTACATCAAGAGCTCGTGCAAGTTTACAAGAACTGTTTGTCTTAGCAGCATTGTATTTGTAGGAGAGCTCTGCTGTCCACTATGTAATGACCGTTTACCAACAAACGGCGCGTAAATTTAGTTGCTGCTATGAACATACAAAAGTACATTGAAACTGTTAGTCGTTTAATTTCTATACGTGACACTGAGATAAACATGTAATCATATTTTTGTATTATAATTACGATATCAGTTCTCAAGAGTATGTATAAAAACATTGTCATGCTGAACATGAAGTATTTTAAAAGATAATAATTATTAATTATAGTAAACATATCAGTACTATTAGTATTCATTGTGTATTGCCTAAGCCCTAAATATGCTCTGCGACGTAATTCTTTGCTAATGTTTTAATATTATAGATTGCTCCCAGCGATAGTCTTTCAATGCTGAAGCCGGCTTAAAAACCTACAGTATGACAACATTTGACTGAATTATTATTACTTATACTCAATTCAATGTGCTATTAATGTAATAAAAAAATGTTGTTAAAATCGTGTATTTTCAATGATAACTATAAAAACCATTAACGTACCTCAACAATCTTTTGGAGTTTATTTATGTTCCTTTGGAATAGCGCCATCTAGTCGAGTAGCTATGAACTTTTTAGAGGCCTACTACACTAAAACAAAATTTGACTTGTCTTTTATTACACCATACATGTAATAAATAGCTCCAAAGCTCCATCTACCAAAATATCTGCGAACTAGATGATGGACGACTACAAGAAAGTAGACAATAGGATTTTGGTTCAAGAATGAAATAAAAGTACATGGTAAGACCAATAGATAGAGCTAGAAGGCGTCAAATACTGCCATCTAGCGGATTAATTGTGACTTAATTACTTCTTAAAAACGTCAATAGATGGCGCTAAATACAAATAAATAATTTAAATTTTTATTTTATTTATTTATCATTTTAAATCATCTAAAATTCTACACATCGATAGCCTAGAATATTAATGGAACAGTACATAATAAAATACTTCAAAAACACTTTGTTGTATGTCAAAGAAAACAACAGTTTGATTCATGAAACTTATTTTATTTGCATTTTAACTAGCTATTTTAGCTACATAATTATAGCATCAAGATAGTCAATGAAAGATCTTAGTGAAATAATGGTACTAATTGACACAATATCACAATTTCCACCCTTTTAAGTCAATTTTTTAAGTTTTTAATTGTTTTTCCTTTAAAGTTTTTTCTAAGTGCATTAAGTACTTTATTGAATTTCCCATATTCATTAAGATACCACGGCCCTAAGACCAGGGTCGTGCAACCACCAAAATGTTGTATGGAAGATGATCACACCAGTTTTGGTTTCACAACCAACTGGTTGTTAGTTAGGTACCAAGTCAACCACAGAATTTATCCTGATAACTCACTGTAGACAGAATTTATTGACTTACAATGTATATATGTGGAGGTATGTATGTATGAATGTGTTAATGTGTGTGTGTGTGTATAGTGGAATCTTGCAAGTAAATATTGAAGCATATATCTTTTAACTAATTCAGCTAAAATTTTGTGTACATTCTTAGATTGCATTACCATAAATGCTAAGCTTGTTTTTTTAATATTTTTATAGGTTAGGACATATCCTATTTTGTAGGTCATGCCATGGTACTTATCCTAATAAATTAGGGTACTAAACATATTTTAATTTTTATAATACTCGCATTAGACATATAAAATTAATTACATTTAACGGCCTACTCACATAACTGGTTGGTGAGGTATCTCAACCAGTTTCAAGCCACGCTCGGGGCTCATAACCATGCAGCAAACGACGCGGCGTACGTCGCGCAGCCAACCAATTATGTGTGTAGGCACCTAGTAAGGGTGTAAAACATAATCTTTTAAAAATATTTTAACAAAGTGATATGAATATACAACATGTAACGTAATTAACGCACACCCTCAAACACCCCAATTAGAATATTATGTTATAATCATAATACATACACTAAATTTTTAATTTAACATGTATATGCATCCTTACTGGTCTTGTCATAAGGTTTATTTTTCTTTATTTTGTTTTGAATGATAGAATTTGTATGAATACAAATAAAACTGCGATTTTAAAAGTCTTATTGCTTTGACTGACTGTCCATTTTGATTTGTTTTAACAATACAGGGTTAATATGACAATAATTTCCGTAGTTTTAATTATTTGGGATAAAAAATAACCTATAAAAATTATATAAATCGATTCAGTTAACGATTCTGAACAAATTATTTTCAGGGTGTGCGCTATTTAAGTTACATGTTGTAGATTCTTAATATTACACCTCTATTAATACAATATAATTTTATTTTGGTGCAATATTTCGACACCATTACAGATAGATGTCAGGCTTTCGCTGCAACTCTTTCTTTTTCTACCACTTTCAGCTTCTGCCCATGAGCTGTAAACAAGAATAAAAATTTAAAACTAAAACTGGGTACTAATATACACAAGTACCTAATGTAGTAGGTACTTAGATTTTATAGCGAAATGACCAGTTGCCTGGGTCAAAAATCAATCATTTAGATTTTTCAATATAATTAAATATTTAAAAATCACTTTCATTCAATCATTTGACGATACATATTCTAGCATATTTTTTTAGAAATAAGTGTGAAATGTGACGAATAATTATGATGACATCAGAGGTTAGTATTTTGTGCATTATTGATAGAAAAGTATCGTGTTTGACACATCTGTTATTGTATTTGTCAACTACTGTATTAAATGATCATGAAGATAAATGGTATGTCTATTATGCCAATGGAGGTCGCGGAGATCGTGTTCACTCCTACGTGACAGTTACGGATGTGCCAAATTGTCTTAGAACTTTGTCAGGTAAGTATCAGCAAAGAGGCAGAAAGGAAACAGCGTCCCAATCCTTCTTTTTCTAAAGAAAATCAGAGGTCGCAACATAACGTAACATCACGCCTTTTATCCCCGAAGGGGTAGGCAGAAGTGCACATTATGCCACTGTACAATGTAACACCCACTTTTCACTATTTATGTTATTATCCCATGTAATAGGGGGTGAGCCTATTGCCATATACCGGCCACAATTCCAGACTCCGTGCTACTACTGAGAATTTTTTAAAAACCCTGTAGTACTTTGCCCGACCCGGGAATCGAACCCGAGACCCCTTGCCCGGCAGTCGCACCTGCGACCACTCGGCCATCGAGGCAGTCGTTATAAAATACATAATGTTAGAGAACCCGTACCTAACATTTGTCCATTTTCCCAATAATAATATTTGACGGTGGGTATCCCCCGCTTTATCGCCGCATCCCTGTGTTCAGTTTTCAATGACTTTCGTAAAGTATTCGCCGCTATGTTTGAGTAATTGACGTAGCTGCAAAATTAATATTCAATTAATTTCTACGAAGAGTGTTTACTAAACAAGAGATCTTCCCTGTTTGGATCATTTTCCTGAGTATTAGCTCGAATTCCCTTAGAATGGCATAGCTATGAGGAATTCTACCTATCCCTACAACTATATTAGATTGTCTTAATATGTAAACCTATAAGATCTTTACCCGACTGCGCGACGAAAAGGAGTCATGTGTTTAATAGTATCCTACAGACAAACATCTAGTTGTTAAACTGTCATCATTACCGTATAATTTAATTGTTTCTCCATCTAACGTTTAAATATTGTATTGTCCGCTCTGTTTTCCTTCTTTTAGCCTTTATTAAACCAGGTTGGGGTCAGCAGTGAGGCTTAGACAAATAGGTACCATCAGAGATTACCCACATATATTTTGTACATAGAAATGAAAGGTACCTGTATGTAACTTTTAAATAAAATTACCAATCCCTGTGAGACTTCTACAAAAACTCGCTTAGATCAATTAACCTTTGAACTGTGGGCATTATTGATATAAGGAGCTATTTAATGTAGGCATACAGAGTTAGTACCCACAAACTACGCCTAAGAACTAAACGTGATGCAAGATCAAACAGGAAGTCGTAAACTTACTTTAATCCAGCCATTCTCCATGTACTCATTATGAATCTCTATAGCCCCCTTCCGAGATAACGAAAAAAGTATAATTTTTAAAATAATTATATAACATAATATCTATCAAAAAAATAAAATTATGACAATTGTCAATCTTATTGTTCGTAAATAATGAAAAACATAGTGAGTCATTCCATGGAGATCGTATAGGGCGAACTAATTATCTGTGGTGAACTCGACAAAGATAATAATTTTGGTATTCTATTAAATATTTAATAAAGTTGAGGGCGAGTAGCAACATGGTTTCTTGTTGCTTACGAGAAGGTTAATAACTTTAACTAAAGGTTCACGGTGTCTTTGACTCAGTTAATGCACATCAATAACTTGAATCCTATGAAAGATTTCATTTCTGAGTCGGATGAAATGCGATTCGAATAATTTTTTTTATTGTTTCTAACGTAAGTAAATGAGTACTTTATTCCAATATTTAATCATAAAATAAACTAGATTCTGTTAAATCATCCTTTAAGATAATAAAACTGTTTGATATCGACCAAATTTCTTTCGGGACGGGGTTGCCTTGAGAGAAGGAATGTCAGGACAAGGTGACATTCAGACGACCTCTGTGTAGACGCCTCGAGGAGCGGCTATAACAATTCGGGAACGGCTTTACGACAAACGTCTGTACCTACTTTACTTTGATAGTAAGTAACATGAAAGAGCTTGGGAGAAAATTATTCGGCAGAATAAGATAGATGTTTATGTCTACAAAAATCTTTTTTACTGCCTTGTTAGCCATGTGGTCGCAAGTGGGGTGGGACTGCCGGGCAAGAGGTATCTGGTTCGATTTCCGGGATGGGCAAAATATCCCCGGGGAATTTAAAAAATTTTCTCAGTTGTAACACGGAGTCTGGAATTATGGCATATGGCAATAGGCGCAACTCCTTATTACATGGGACTCATAATAAAAATAGTGAAAAGTGGGTGTTACATTTTACAGTGGCATAAGTGCCATAATGTGCACCTCTGCCTACCCCACCTGGGATAAGAGACGTGGTGTGATGTTATGTAGATAATGTGGATATGTCCATAGTTCTAATAACCCAACAACAGTGGCAGTGGCGTAACTATACTGATCGAGGCCCGTGGCTTTATCGGATGGGCTCCCTTTTCCCATTAAAACAGAACTACATCCATTAGTTATAAGGATATTATTCGTTGATCGGGGCACAAGCGTAGACTGGTACTATTTTAACCGGCCATACTTACGTGCGCTCACTTTTCAGTATTACAGTCACGTCGGCTTGGTCTTGGAATCAGGAATTGGTACTGGTGGATGGTATAAAGTTAACTAGTAAGTATTGGATGAAATATGTAGATCACGTTTGTGTAAAGATAAACGATAAACTCTGCCTACGACAGAACAAGAATCGTAACGTTATTTTGTAGTAGTAACAATGATGAATGACGTTCCCGGATACTGACCTTTTTAACACCAATTTACTTTGACTGGTTTCCACCAGTTGTTATAAATAAAGTCGTTTTTGTTATCAAGTTAGTATTAAAAATAACACATGTGCTAATTACCCATAACACGGTTTGGGGTCAATGTCGCTAATTTTGTTATGATTGTGAAATAGTGTACGTAAGCACTGGGAGTCTGGAATCGAATATAATACTTAAACATGACACTCTTATCATTGTAGATACTAGTTTTTACAATATCTTCTCTTCCTGTGGCTGTCAAAGAGTCGACCTATACTTATTATACTCTTTGGAGTCGACTAAGGTACAGTTACTACTCATTTGACAGTGACGCGGCAGCAGCGCTCTCCGAAAGATAGTCTTTTTTATAGGAATGAGGTCCATCCGATAGGTTTACTAAGGGCTCCGAAGGGTACCGGGTGGTACACCACTGACAACGACCATTTTTTTGGCACCTACCGAGTATGGAGATCATGGTAAACCCTGCTATGTAGAGGAGTCCAATAGCGTGGACTGTTACGTTATGTACATGTAAATGAATAATGAACAATGTTATCCCGTACTGTTATAGTGATGGGGTAGTTCGAAATAAAAAGGTCCCATTTGCAGATAATTACGCTTAATAAAAATGGTTGAAAATCAATAATTAATATTTTAACTGGTTATTTAAACGTCACTGGCAATATCACTGAATGAGAGAGTCACTGGATGACGAAACGACTGGTTAGATCGGATTATGAATTAGTACTGTCTGTCTCACGGGATGACAGGCAATGCCCTGGGTGGTCACACACACATGCTTAAAATGCATACAATGTATAACAGCCCTATGTAAGCATCATAGCAATTGGCGTTCCATAGTCTCTGCCTACCCTCATAGACGACAGACGTGAGATGTCTGATGTATGTATGTTATTTCATAAGATATTAGTCAGTTTAATCATCCGTTTGCAAGTTCCTATCACATGTACGATATTTGCGCAGATCGCGTGAAGACGCGGCGTCCAACACGTTGTTCAATTTACTTGGAACCGGCCTGTCAGACCGTGAGTCATATCGTAATACAAAAACACGATAATGTCTAATAATATACTATGCAATTGTTACCGCAGTTTTCCTATGCATCTTTTTCTAAAGTAATTGATCTTAATTAAGAATATATTTACAAGCCTTTTGATTTTTAAAGGAGCAAGCAGGTGTGTGGAAGTCCATGAGCTCATGAGAGAAAACTGCAAAGTGGGTGTTACATAGGTAGTACACTTACTTCTGTGCACTTCTGCATGTCAGTACATTATGTTATGATGTACCATAATATAGCCGACCTAATTCTAAAAACTGTGATACCTAACTACTGAGAAAAACCCGTATAATACCTACATTTTCGGACACCGAAATTGATCGAATCGATTTATGTAGTTTCTTGCTCGTTCGCCCATTCGAATCTACATTTTGGAATGAGCACTTAGCTTCACTGACGGGCAGACTCACAGACTATTATTTTATTTTATATTTGTTGACGTATCAAAGGTACCAAATTATGGTTTAATTGGAATAAATGCTTTTACTTTGATGCCAAATTCCTTCCTTGTCACTCGCGCTTGCGACGACTCTACGAGTCTGTCGTACCAGTCAGTAAGTATTTACTTTAGTTACTTATATGCTAGACTTATTTATTTATATGTGTCTTTCTCTTTATATAGAAGTTATCCTTCCTCACAACCTCTGGTTACCATTAGTGGAGCATTGCACAGCTAAATGCGGCTTGCAGATATATTTAGAATTTAGAGTAACGCCCGCATGGTTGGCACAAATAAGGTTGAATACCTCACTCGCTTTCAGGATATAAATATTTTCATGCATTACCATAAAGAAATAAAGGTTGTAAAATATATCACAGTCGGTACGCAACTGAAATGAAATTATAGGAAACTAGCTTCTGCCCGCGACTTCGTACGCGTAATCCCATTTTTTCCCGTCCCCGTTCGTGATTTTCGGTAAAAAGTAAAAAAAAATTGGTCAAAAAGTCGGTATCCTATGTCGGTCTCCTGGCTCTAAGCTACCTCCCTACCAATTTTCAGCCAAATCTATTTTGCCGTTCTTGAGTTATAAGTGGTGTAACTAACACGACTTTCTTTTATATATATAGATTTAGTCAAGGTGGAGTAACGTCAGGCCTTTTATTCCTTTAAAGGGAGAATATTGTAAACCGGTTATTACATCCAGTTTTTATCAGTTGTTTTATTAATCCTATGTTAAAGAGGGTTTGTGCCAAAGACACCATTATTTATTTACTTAAATTTACAGTCACAACGGTTAAAACAAACCAATTCCAGTAACTGGACACATTTACAAAATAATAAACGATGAAAGATGAAATAATAAAAGTGAAACAAAACATACACATTACACAAACGAAAAAGGAAAGTAAAACTTATTTAAAAGAGGTAGCATTCATAAGTTCCTCACGCAGTATTTTAGGCATTCCAATAAAGTCTCATCAGGCCGCAAACAGATCCCCAGTTGGATTGGAATCAAAGATACCATTGAACGCGACCAGGTCCGAGGAATAGGTGCTTTAGCGCGTGCTACGATAAGGCGACAAGAGGGCACGGTAAACAACCTGTGCTTTTTACCCAGCAGTAATTGTAGGAACATAAAAGCGTGATAGTGACTTCAGTAGGTCTGGAGCGACAATAGCACCTCAGAGGATTTTACGTCTGTAACTATTACTACTACAAGTTGTTTTCTTGTTTTCCTTATCTCTAGCGTATTATATCCAAGACTACCCTTTAAACATTTTGTCGGGTATAGGTAAGGATAGTACCCGTGCACTCGATTCTACAACTTCCTAAGGTAAGGTTTTCGAACTTTCATTAAGAGTACGGCGTAGGTACTTTCGGGAGGATTCCACACACATGATCTGGTTTCCAACTTATGATTAGGTGTTACGAATAACGACTAGCACAGGCTGCCATATGTACATTGTAAGACAAAACTATTATCAGCAGCCTGAAGATGTCCACTACCATACAACAAAGTCCTCCTCTTTGTTCCCCCACGTTGAGCGACAGTCTACCACTTGGGTACATCCGCCAGTTACCCATAAACTACTTACAAAATAACTACACATTATCGGTAAACATTTAATAAGAGAACCTACTCAATATTGTTATTGCGCTCTATACACTACATAGACGGTCAAAGGGTAACCTACGTAGATTAGGTTTTAAGTGTAGGACAGCCATGCTTTGGCATGAATGGGCCGGTTCGACCGGACTCAGATCATGGCCCCAAATAAAACCGTCGTCAAACAACACTGGCGTTTTGAATCCCCTGTCAATCCTCAAAAGACCAGCAACGCGCTCGTTAAGTTCTTCTCTGGTGTTACGGGTGTCCATAGGCAGCGCCGATTGCTTACCATCAAGTGATCAGTCTGCTTGTTTGCCAGCTTAGCTTATTTATCCCATAAATTAAAACTAAAATAAAAAAGTGTGTATAAAACTTCTTTCGCCTTTTAACATGGCCGTTAACGAAGGAGAATAAAATAAATCTTCATCTTTTCAAAGACAAAATTGTAAAGTCTTTGTCAAGCAAGATTCCTACTATTATAAAGTTATTTTTTGTAAAGTTTGCATAATTTAACTATTATAATCTTGTTGAAATGTTCCCATTACTCAAACCTTCCTCAGTTCCGCAGTTAGCGAGCCGTGTTAGAAAGCAGATTAGTGCTTACGACATTTTTCATTTCAGTGAGTAATACGACTTCTGTACTAAATAAACCAGTAGGTAAACAATGACTGCACGGTTGACGCAGTCGACTTGTCGCGGGTTCGATTCCCGTGTCAAACAAAAAGTGATAATGGCATTTTCTGAGTAAAATGACCGTTATTAGACCGGAGTCAGGAAGTTCGGTGGTGTTTCCACCCCCGTGCGTCGAAAAGCACATAAAGCTGTTGGTTCTACGCCTGATCTCTCCAGTCGTGTCGGTCTGCCGTCCCTCCGTCCCATCGGGTTCGGAGAGTGAGGGTACAGAGACTGTTTTTGCGCACACACTTGTGTGCTAAAAGTAATATCTCCTGCGTAGTGGGCTAGTCAAGTTAAACTTGCCACCACGATCAAAATCTAACGGGAGGCTTCATTTAGATAAACAGATAATTCTGAGCTAATTAATTAGTTTATCATCGAAGGAGATGATATTCTAATTTTATTATGATAAGACGAACATTACGTAAAGGAGGACTCATACAGAGAGAAGGCTGAATACAGATCTCTTTCGTTCGAGTCGATACGCGCATGGTGCCTGGGCATTGCTTGAAAATTGCCGAGCGAGGTATTTCATCAAACAGTTACATCGTACAAAGTATTATGTACCTAATTTCCAGGTCTTAGATGCGCAAGTACGCGGAACCCTCCCCCACCAGAACCAGCTGGGTCGGGTGTTCCTTGCAAACAATTCACAACGATTGGAAAGGTATTCAAGGCTAATTCGCACAAAAGTCTCGGGTACGGCGAAAAAATAAGTATCGTCGGTTTAGACGACATTGGTACTGCGATCGTTTATACTCTACTGGCTAAGGTAAATTGATAAACTGGTGGGTTACCCTGTAACACTGTCAATTCCAACTTCGAAGTGAGCTCGATTGAATTCTCGCCCGTCATTGGCCGAGATTATTCTCGCAACCAATGACATGGCGGACCGCGATCGAGTTCACTTCGACCATTCAATTTGAATGTTATAGAATTAGAATTTGTATAATCCCATTCCTGATAATTATTGGGAATTTACTATTTAAAAATGTACTTACTGAATTTGCTGATGAAATCAAGACTCATATGGCTCTTTTATTTCATAGAACTCCTTTTATTCCCGGAGGGCAAAGATAGCATAGTTATGTTAAAGAATCTCATCTCATTAAGACAGCTTTCATCTGTGAACTTTAGACCGTTGCAAAGTCAGTCAGTTATTTCAATGACTATAACATTGTATTCTAGGGAATCACAAACAACATCTGTATGATTGATATGAACGAAGAAATACTGGAGGGTGAACACTTGGATCTTCAGTCTGGCGCTATGTTCCTGAATAATCCGAAGATAATTTCCAGCAAAGGTATTTTATTTTGTAACTTAATTTTACACATGTCTTCTATAATAAAGGATTTTGGGGCGAGCAGGACTGACCTAGTGGATGCAAGTGGCGGGTTATCGTTCGCAATGTGGAGGTGTGGAGGACTAAAGGAAGGCCTTTGTACAGCACTGCCCGGATGATGATGATGATGAGGGTTAAACCAAATACTAATTAGTAAAGTTAGGCACAGTTGCATTGCAACCTCTATTACTATGCGAAGAGTGAAAAAATCGAAAAGTTCAATTTCACCTCAAGTTTATACAATGACCAAAATATCATGCATAGGTACTATATGGGGTTAGCTAAAAGGGCAAATACATGTATCATAAAATAATAAGTTTGTATACGTATACCTATATCCGGCCACCGTAAGTGCTGGTCTGCGGACGGCGAGTAAGGGTAGCTGGCGTCGCGTTTCATCGGCTCGAAGATCAGGAGTAGAGGCTCGTACATAAAAATTACGATGCGTTTTCGTGCGACAAGGCGTACCCCAGGGTGACCATTCCTTCGACTACTGTCAACCATACTAAACGTACCTATTTTAAATTGAAATCTAGATCGTGCCGTGGATCGTAAAAAGAAGTGTGCACTTCTGTTATTGCTTAGGAGATACAGAAAAAAGAAACAAAGAAGATTTTGTGAAGATAAGATTTTGATGCGCGTCGGAGAACCTAACGGGTAACCGGGGCTCCGGCTCGACGTGCAGGAGAAGGAACGGGGTGGTTTTTAGTCAGTAAGAGTCTGACACTCCCTCCTGCCTCACCCAGGCATGAGCAGTCATTCGATGATTTTCCCTTCTAAAAAAAAAGAGGGTCCTCGGACATTTTTGCGATGCGACGTCGCATCGCAGTTTTGTATACGAGCCCTAGGAACGGGGTGGTTTTGAGTCAGTAAGAGTCTATCTGACACATCCTCTCGCCTAACCCAAGGCGGGTCAGGACATTGGATGAAATCCCCATCAAAAAATGAATAAATAAGTAAGTATATCTTAATATATAATGAAATAACAAATTATAAATTTTGTTTGCGTTAGATCCTGCAGACACCCGCGATTCCAAAATATGTATCATCACCACGGGGACTTATAAAGGTCGAGACGAGGAGGACTCGGAATACATCGCCAGAAATGCGGGCATCGTTAGAGCTATTGTAGCGCCTGTAAGTTACCTGTGTCTTCAAGTGGTTCCATTCTTACACGTCTATTTTAACTGCAGAATAACAAACAGATGTTATAGTTTTAATCTAGTTAGTTGGCATTTAACCTGAATACTATAATATTTAACGTAACGTAACTGCCCTTTATAAATCGGTACAAAGGAGTTTCACTTGGGAAAGCTAATTACCAATCGCTATTCTATAGACTGAAATGGGAATAGTTTTAGAGAGAATTTTTAAAAATACTGAATAAATAACACCTACAAATTAATGAGCAGGTCTCCTGGAGCTTTATGTAACCAATTTGTCATTTTACTAAGAAAATTAACGAAATTTTCTCTCATCCAGCTGGCCAAATATAATCCCAATGCAATCTTCGTAGTAGCGAGTGAACCAGTCGACATTCTTAGCTACGTCGCTTGGAAACTGATTGGTATGCCGAAGAACCGAATTATCGGCACCGGCACCTTGATGGACACGGCACGGTTCCGATTCCTGTTGGGCGACAAATTCGGCGTCACACCAGAGTCTTGCCACGGGTACATTATCGGGCAGCATGGACAATATAGCGGTAAGAATTTCTTCAATATGCATTTTGAAATCAAATGTAAGCATATTTTTCAAAATTGTTACAACAAAAAAAATCAATTAACGAGAAATCCTTGGCCTAAAATAAAAAGACACACCGTAAATCGCCTTGAACAAAAAGACATGGAGAAGCATACATCTAAGAACTATAACTTCTTTGTCACCAGTTCCTGTATGGTCCAGCGTGAATATAGGTGGTGTTCTTCTAAAAGACCTGAATCCTCAAATTGGTACGGATAAGGATCCTGAATGTTGGTACGAGCTGTATGAAGATGCAGTCAAAGCTGAGGGTCTGGTACGTCAGCTCAAGGGCTGCGTCTCATGGTCTTTGGCTCTTGGTGTGGCAGATATATGCAAATGTATATTTAATAATGCTAACAAAGTGCTTCCAGTGTCCACATATGTCAAGGTACGAATGACTAACTACATCGTAGGGAGAATCGTAATTTAGAAGTACTCTGGTAAAGATTTACAGTTTTGTTTCGGTTTTGTAATAAATACACTGATAAGACGTCATAACCTAAAAATCCATACCTTCAGTAAATCACAATTTGGAAATGGGTTAGTGTTTTAGCCTATGCCAAAAAACACTTTATGTGTATGTACTTTCGAGTCTGATCTCACTTACTGGTAGTATCACATACACACACATTCGTGATCCGTGTTGTGTACATACATATATATGACAATCATTATGGTAAAAAGTATGAATTGATGACCTTGTAGCTGACTAAACTAGATGGCAAGTTTCAATATAAACGAATTATTTAATGGTTATATATATTTTCCATTGCAGGGCGAACACGCAATAAAAGATGAAGTTTTCCTCTCCCTGCCTTGCGTGGTAGGCTGGAATGGAGTCTCGGACATCATCAGACAAAATCTTAGTGAGGATGAAGCAGTAGTGCTGCGTCGTGGTGCGGAAAATACTGCCGACCTGCAAACTGCAGTTAACAAAATTATATCATAATTCATAATGTCCCGAGTTTCTTTTATTGAGTTATGGGACAGTCGAGTTGCATTAACACTTTGACATCAGTAACAGGTAAAATTTCATAGCCATACCACGGTTTGTGGTTGTATACTGGTAGCAGGTAACATTGGCAGTATGGGCAACAAATGACTTAATATTAGTAGGTACCTTACTGTACGTTTTTTGTTAAACTTGTTTTCTCTCTTATTTACTTCATTTTATTTAAACGTGTTTGTGTTCTTAATAAAATTTCTTATTAATTTTGTGATTTTTGCTTTAAAACTAGTATTACATTTTCTCAAGGTGACAAGACTTTAGCACTTATTTTCGAAAAAGTATTATAGCTCATTTTATTTCCTGCGACACATTTATGAGAGGCGAGTGAACTTCTCCTCACTCGACAGGCCCGAATTATTTATTAGTTTAATAGTCACCTACCTACTAGTCTAGATTCTAGATAACTTTTATTCGACCTCAGATCTTATGGCGTCACCATAAAGCCGAATTTAGCTCTCAGACAGATGAAGCCGGTTCGTAGATTGAAGTCCTGTATAAAAACGCTGTGTTATTGCAAATGCGAGCGTCTGTTTAGGGATTAGGGTGTGTTTTTGTGGGAGCGATGGTTTTAATTCGGGCATGCGCGGTGCCACGGTGTCCAAAACTAACTGTTGAAGGTCACCTTGAGCGTGTGCCGGCGGGACGACGCGACGCGAGCCGACACACGCCGGCAACAACATTGGCCGTGCTGACTGGGCAACTACGTGACTGCACTCACGACACATACTTACAATGCTTGTCACTGAACTTTCTATTATACAAACAACACAAGAAAGCATCTGATCGTCTATCAAACTTTTTCAACTTTGCATCATCTGCAACTCTTACCTAACAACAGCATCCTATTAACGTTCAATGTAACAATAGATTAGGTATAATAATAAGTATCTATCTCTGCACCTACATATTTTATTGACCACTTATTTCCATTGGTCTTGGCTCCTACCTTCTTCGAGGATATCCACAGCATTATAGGGCCTAGCAACAGCCACTTCAGTAAAGAAAAATAACTTTTCGATACACCTGAGTACCAGCTACTTGAAAGTAGCTATTGTATGTATTTGATTCATCGAATAGGTGATGCAATCCTTTACCAACAGCATGCAGTTATGTTATACCTAATATACATTGCGTTATAGTTTATAGTTGATACAAATCTTTTTAATTACTTGAGTTTTTATTTATGTCATAAAAGAGTTTAATTTGTGTGCATTTTGTCCTGCATGCCAACGTTTGTGCCAAGCAATGTTACAAAATTGCCAGTTGTTAATTTCGCACAACTGACAGTAAAACATTTCCAAAATATTTCGTTCTCGCTCGTGACATTATTTTGTGTTGTCTTCATTTTCTTTATTACAAATAAAATTGTTTCTATTTTTAAACTTAGTTTTTTCCTGTACCTACGTAACGACTGTTTTTTACTAAATCTAGACATTGTTTCTTTGTCGTTGTTACTTTATTTTGACCTTCCTCCCGTGTCTTCTTTGACCTTGAGTGTATCCCACAGCACGTTTCTGGTGCAAAGAACTTGCGCGTAACGAACGCACCCTACTTTTTCGCGCGCACGCAATCTGCGGCTTTAATCATTCGTTCAACCAGTCGCTAGTTCAGCTCACCACGATAAAAGCCGACCGGTCTGGTTCGCTCATTCAGTACCTTCAGTCAGTCGTTGACAGTGGGAAAGTGAGCGCGCGTCTCTAAAAGATAACTTTGTGTATCGATATTTTTTAAACAGTTTTATCGTATTCGAAAATTTTGAAGATGGCCGAGAATAATTCTGTCAGTTACGAGAACGGAGACGGTAAGTTTATGGTGTTTGCACAATTATGTACTTATGGTAGGCCTCGGCACTGCATGGCGATGCAGGTTGCACTTTTAATTTGTGGAGCATCATTATTTTGGCCGTAAATAACTTTTCCTTATGCCATTAGGTGATTAGCCTTGACTATAATAATTAAAACAAAACCTTAAATATTTTTTCCTTAAGCTCTGAATGCATTTGAGGAAAATTAATTACTGCATTGAGTGCATTAGTTAATTGACAGAAGTAATCTAATAAAATAATTGTTTTAGTTATGTACAATAATTTAGAAAACTGTAGTTGAAATAATCAAGTACGTAGGTTCAGAACGATTGTATCGTACCGGTCGCTTCACCTGAACACTAATCAATAATTGCAAAGAATTTATTACTAGAAATACTTGAACTAGTTACACGTAAAGTCTGATTGTTGGATAGATTTAATATTTTACCTGGAAACTTGACTGAAGAGGATAGAGGTCTCAATAATGTTCCAAGGAGTCATTTTTTTTCTCGGCATAAGTTTCAACCTTTTTGATTTTCGGTCTAAAAGAGCCTTAGTTTACTTATATATATAGAGATACACATGTAAAAAAGTGAGCAAGTCTGTTCTGTTAAAGGTTAGTACTGTGGAATAGGTACCTACTAACTATCTATCCCACACTTCTAACTATTAGATTGAGGGCCGCTTAATCAATGATATATAACTTTTATCCATAAAATTGAATATAAAATAAATAGAATTGGCTATTGGCGTTCCATAGTCCCTGCCTACCCCCCCAGGGGAGACAGGCGTGAGGTTATGCATGAATGTATGTAGAATAAATAAAATTCATGACATGACTGATGACTGTTGATGAAGCGAAAGGGGTATGTAAGAATCGTAGCAATTTGCGTTCCATAGTCTCTGCCCAACACCCAGGGGAGACTGGCGTGAGGTTATGGTAAGTACTTATGCAATAAAATTGACGGCTGACAGTTTTGGAATATCTGACAGAAACTACTTGCCGTTGGTAGGTTTCGTACCGGCACTCGCATGCTTGAGAAGCAAGCGTCTTAAACCTCCGGACTACTACGACATAATCCATAATCATTCGGTTGGAGAATTACGTTAAATTACCCATCAGTTCAACTAATGAAATTTTGACACAGGCTGTGAATATGATAACAGTAAATTGTCCCTATTTAAACAATAATGTCTCGATGTTGATGAACCGAAAGAGGTATGTAAGAATTAGCGTTCTATAATCTTTGTCTACGTCTACCCCCATGGGAGACAGGCGTGAAGTTATGTATGTATTATGTATATATGAGAGGAACGATTCCATCTATCCAGTTACTGTAATTAGGTATTTGACTTCCACCTCGTATTTTGTAGGTGTTACCTACATCGATTTTGTCTCGTTTTATACGACCTTAACTTAACCTTCGCCCGGACATTAACCTTTAGAGTAAGCATTTAGTACCTTTTTGGAGTACTATAAGTATTAGCCAGTTTTCGTTAATTCGAGTAGGTAGGTCATTTTCACACCAACAGACTATAAATGCCCACTGCTGAGCAAAGCCTGTTCTCACACGGATAAGGTTTGAGCATTGATCACCACGCTTGCTCAATGCGAGTTGGCGATTTCAAACTTATAATTAGAAATTAAAAGTCCAGGTTTCCTCACGATGTTTTCCTTCACCGTTCGTCAGTGGTGTCTAAATTGTCTTAGAAAGTACATACAACTCGGAAAATGTCACTTTGGTACTTGTCGTTGGTAGGCTTCGGACCCGCACCCTCATGCATGAGAAGCGGGCGTCTTAAACCTCCGGGCCACCAAGACACACATTTTCAATTCGATATTACTTAATATCAGTCTGAACAAAATATTATTTAATAGACAATTAAATTGACCGTTACAACCTACGTCCTTTAAACCTAATACAAAATGAAAATACTGTTATAAAAAAGTGCACAGAGAAAAAAAATACTTTTCTAAACTTTATTGACTTTGACAATTGTTAGTTGAAAATCCTGATTATATTCTATTCATATTTTTAAACTTAAAACATAAAGATAATTGATATTAGTTTACATACAAACAAGTTATTCAAAAAACACTTCGCGTTTGACTATACATACTTATTTGCAGTCATATTTTAGGCGATGACATAAGTGTTTGGTATTGTCTAGTCTTTACTTATATACATACATATATAGAGACAGATACTTAATAAATCGAAGGCCAATATCCGAAGACCAGGTGGTTCTGAACAGTCAAGAGTTAGCACCTACTAGCCACTACTATCCTAGGATGGCGGGAGACCCAATCTCAATGGACACCATAGGTAGTCATTTTGTTCTCTGATAGATATAGTAATGACATTGCGCGACAGTGTCACATATGTTGTCATCCATTTTACGCAGGTTTCATCATTTTGTAGAATACAAATAAATATTCATCTTCATCATCAGCCGTTGTTCTCGTTCACAACTGGACATAGATTAATATTAGCACTCGAATTGATAAATAAATATGTATAATTTTGCTGTATATCTTACAGTTAAAATTGTCATTAATACTGTACTATTAAAATTGTCATTAATACCGTGGGGTTGATGCATGATTTTGATCGAAGCTTGGTAGAGATTGACACAATAGGTAATATCGATACAATCGAACCGTAATTTATTTTAAATTGATTCATTTTAAATATTAAACAACAAACAGCAATAGTTTTTAAACATAAAAACTTTTATTTTTAACTGACTTCAAAAAAAGAGGAGGTTCTCAATTCGACCGTATATATGCTTTTTTAATTATAATACAAATAGTGCGCAATACGAAATTATGAGTAAGATAAAATGAATATTGCAAATAATAAATGTTTTTCGTTCCATTGTGTGTGCAAATCTGGTTAGGGCACAAGATTTATCCTCGTACGTGAATATTATCGATTAAATAATTCAATCGATTTTTACACCACATTTTCACCGCCATATTTCTAGCGAAACTTCAAATTCAAATACCAAACGTCATTACAAAACCCATACATCAGATCGCAAAATTTTAGTTAATAAAGTTCGTTATTTTAAATTTTTTATACAAATCATCTATTATCTATGTATGTACCTATATCCCATACTATTGTGAAAATGTGGTGGCCCAGTGGTTTGCGACGCCCACTTCTCGTCCATGAAAATACCACGGGTCCTAAACTTTGCAAGTACCGAAGTGAGTTTTCCAAGTTGTATGTACTTTTTATGATTATTTAAAACATCAGTTATGTACGGTACTTGTAACCTGGGTTTGTAAAGCATCATTATACATTTGAAAGCGCCAACCCACATTCCGTAAGCGTGGTGAACCAACGGCTCGTGTGAGCAGAAGCCTCTACTCAGCAGTGGACACCTAGTAAGGGCTGTTGTTATGATGTGATGATGTGTGAATGTGGACCTAGTTAGAATTTTGAGAACTGGAAGCCACATTATTGCATGCTCGTTCTTGAACGTACACAAAGCACCGCTAATTAGTTGCAGCGCAACACATCGACACTGCTGTCATCTACACAGTGTACATGTGTGGGTAATTTCATATTACTGTGTATAAAAATATTCGTCCACCACGTTCACATTGGTATTTTCATTCTTGTGTCGGTATACGTATTTTTATAATTTAATGCATAGGTAAGGTTAAAACTATTTACAATCATCGATATGACCCGACATTTTCACTGTCATTATCGTAGTGCTCGTGGTCGATTGGTTAATGCGTACGCTTTTATCGCCGTTCAAGGATCAATGATGTGGGTTCTATTCCAGCTAAAAGTTTATTTTATTTTACCTTGTTATTTTTCTTCTAATTATTTTTTTTTTGTTTTTTGTCATAAAATATAAATATCAGGCTATAAAAGAAGCAAATGAGTTGGTAAATAAAACAATACTATTTTTTATTACAATAATTAATTTATTTATTATACAAATATGTTGTTTTATATTTATATCTAATAATTAATTATATACCACATGTTAAGTTTAAAGTTCTTTAAATCACAATTAATAGATATGACAATAAACCTCATAGTCGAATCGGGAAATATCATGCGGTACAGCGGTAATACGATGGCAGCAACATTTTTTATTAAGTAATAAACAAATACAACATTCTTGTTTTGTAATTTAATAATACATAAGTAATAAACAAGTAAAACATGTAAAAAATTACACTGTCAACATAATATTTCGTGAAATGGGCGACTTTTTGTCGTTTGAATCTTCCATTAACTCGTCGAGTACCGGTTTTATAGACACAATTAAAGAACAATGGGTCGCGGTCACCGGTGACCGCTTGGTGTTTGACAGTTTAATTATGTATTTTACGACGGTTGTTATAAGGTTCAAATATTCAGGCTTATGATAGTAAAAAAATGTGACGAATGCTATGGAACGATTTTAACATTCATGACCTTTAGAATCAGGGAAACTTTAAATTAATTAAAGATGGGCGTAAATATAATATGTCTAATCAAGTTCGAAAGCAGTTAAATAGATATGTTAATGAAAAATTAAAGTGAAGTGAATCAACATGTTGAATAGAAAGAAATGATGACAATTTCTAACCACAAAACAATAACATCACTTCACCGTATGCTTTAGACAGCATTTTACTATTCTTGCAAAAATTAAACATTATTATAAGTTAATTTTAATAAAGGCGGAGTTTGACAGGCTCAATAATTGATTCCGAAATCAATACAATCACTGATCCTACAAGGCAGAAGGTTGCAATTCGTATACCTTTCTCCATCTTTTCTCCACAATATTTTACGCCCATCCTTATCCGACTTGAAAGTCTTTTCGTCGCTCAATATGATTACACTGTTCGCCCAATCAAAATTAATAAAGTCCTAAGCAAATTCTTAGCGCTTTTGCTGGTGAACCACAGATAACAATATTTTCTTCTCTGGCTTCCTGCACCTTAAACCAGAATGCAGGTGTCTCCGTACAGTTTGTATTAAAACATTCAGTGCTGTCGCTGTAGTGCGTGTTGGCAGGAACGGATCAGCCATGTGCCTGGCTACGATGTCGTAGTGCCGAGCCGATGAATTTGCCTTTGGTTTAGGCCCACGTCGACGATGTTCAACGTCACCGGTCTCCGCATATCTGTGCACCCATAACTGCACGGATCTCCTCTGTTGATACCAAACAAATAAGTATTTAAAATACCAGGAAATACTTTACAGGAATTAAAGTTACTTAAAAATAATAATAAATATAAGTAAACACAATGTTAGAATAATAATTTATAATCAAGTAGTGGCGTAAGGAATAAAAATCCCTAACCAGATATGTTTTAAAGAAACACTCCTAACAAAAACAAGTCAAGTTACAATACAATTAATAATAAATTATTAATATATCTTTATAATATTGAACTTCATAATAAGTTGCAATAATTATTTTATTCTAGTGTAAAAATTGATAGGTGTGTCGAGTTACAAAATGAAATAACTATTATTTAGAATATCAACGTAGTATCTTATTTACTCACCGATATCATTAAACGCCTTGCTATTTCAGTTATTGTTAGTTACGTTTTGCTCATGCAAAACAATGATTTCAGCCTTTTTAAATGTTGATAGGAGTTGGAACATCTTGTAAAAATAAAAATAACTTTGCACACGAATATAAGTAGCGTAGCAATAAACTATGAAATCTTCATAAATTGACAACTAAGAACGCAATTATTTTGTAAGTCGGGTGATTTGAAAAACATGTTTTAAATAGTCGGTAGTTACTTCATAAGCGGGTAAAATAAAATGACTCGAGATTTCTATGGTCGCCACAAACATTGCAAATATACTCAGGTATCGAACCATTAAGAAATCACAGTTAATTACTTTTTTACTGTTTTTTATCTTATTTAAGTTGGTTGAAATGCATGAAGCCAATGAGATTATTCTAAATAATAAATAACTAGAACTAAAATATAAAATAAAAGATTTTATAGGTATAAATAAATCTAAAGTATTTACTATTAAAATTAACATAAGATTTAGAACAATAGGATAGGAAAAAAAAGAAAAGATTTAATTGTTTCTAATTTCAAATTTCAAATTTCAAATATTTGATAAATTAATACTAAAACAACATGTGAATGCTGGAATCGATCCGGCGGCACTTTACTTGACAATTGGAGGCGATAACCATTGCGCCAAGCGCGCTGTAGATGAGATCATCGAAATATTGTATATCATTCAGTAACATAAAATTACAATGAGAAAGCACTATATTTATATGGGTATTGTATAGCTCGATCGTTCATTATTTTTGATTTCGATTTATTCAAAGTTTGTTATGAGTAATTTTATCTTTACCCTCGTTTTTATTTAAACTTATTTACTAAATTATTACGTATACCGACACAAAAATGATATTTAAATACCAAGATGTGTGTGATAGACGAATGTTTCTATACATATCTATTGATATGAAATTACCCACACATGTATATTGTGTAAATGATAGTTGTGTCGATGTGTAGCGCCGCGAACTAATTAGCGGTGCTTTGTGTACATATAAATCTAAATTTAGGTCCGGGAAAAGCTTGATATTTTGTATTTAACGTGGCCTCTAGGAGTACCAGATATCAGTATACCAGTGTACATACGCCTCAGATACCGCAAAGCCTGAAGACAAAAGTCTTCAACGAGTGCGTCCTTCCAGTAATGACATACGGAGCCGAGACGTGGACACTGACAGTGCGACTGGTCCACCAATTTAAGGTCGCGCAGCGAGCTATGGAGAGGGCTATGCTCGGAGTCTCTTTGAAGGATCGAATCCGAAACGAAGTGATCCGACAGAGAACCAAAGTTATCGACATAGCCCAAAGATCAGTAAGCTGAAGTGGCAGTGGGCCGGTCACATTTGTCGAAGAACCGATAACCGTTGGGGCAAACGTGTTCTAGAGTGGAGACCGCGTCTGGGCAAACGCAGTGTAGGGCGCCCTCCAGCTAGGTGGAGTGACGACATCTGCAAGGTGGCTGGCAGTGGTTGGATGAGAAGAGCTGAAGACCGAGCTCAGTGGCGTGCCATAGGAGAGGCCTATGTCCAGCAGTGGACGAATACAGGCTGATGGTGTGGTGTGAGTGTACATACAGTTATGGATATCATTATGTATTTGTCTAATGTCGTGGTGGCCCGGAGGTTTAAGACGCCCGCTTCTCATGTATGAGGGTTCAAAACCTACCAACGGCGAGTACCAATGTGACTTTTTCCGAGTTATATGTACTTTCTAAGATTATTTAGACACCACTGACAAACTGAAGTAAAAATATCGTGAGGAAAGCTGGACTTATAATTTGTAATTATAAGTTTGAAATCGCCAACCCGCATTGAGCAAGCGTTGTGATCAATTCTCAAACCTTCTCCGTGTGAGAAGAGGCTTTGCTCAGCAGTAGGCATTTATAGGCTGTTGATGATGATGATAATGATTATGTATTTGTAACTGCACTGAGATTTTCTGGTTTCCTTGATAGGTGCCGATGAGTCTATTAGTTAAGTCTGCGATAAGTTTCAACAGTGTAGGACCGTTGTGTTGGCGTCGATACGTTCACCTTGCACCCGCAAACTAGGTAGATAGGTAATGCATAAATCTACATTAAAATTCACCATTTCATTGAGTACTTACACCTACTATTTCGCCGTCGATTTGGAATTCAAAGCAAATTTTGTAAAGTATAATAGAGCCCGATACAATATTATCCATGGAAGATAGTGAAGTGACTGGTCTGGTACGGTAAATGGAGTAAATAGGATTTGAACAGCAAAAAGGGACAGAAAAGGGGTGAATCGATACTATGAAGGATTTCCTTATATCTATTCACACCTCTTTTGTCCCTATTCACCCCATTTCACGGTACGGTATTGTGCAATAAGGAGTTTTCATTAAACTAGAATCTTGATGATGCAAAAAGACTTAATTCTTCTGTGGAATAGCTGTACCTACATATCTGTCTCATCAATCGAATGATGATCTAGTCGACATACGTAAACAATACATGGGAAGAACTTTTTAACTTCAATTTCCGTAATATCATGAGTAGTAAAAGTTGTAGCACTTTTTCTAAGGATTACACCACTTTTAATGAAGTGCACACAATATTGCACTGTGTGATACATGGTGTGCACAGAGGAAATATATTCGGGGAAAAAACTGCCGTAAAAACGATGACGTAATTATGTTTATCGTTACGCAGCAGAATTGTGGAGGCCACGATAGCCTGTGGCCGTGCTCTCAGACTAACGTCTGCTGCCGAACTATGAGGCGCCTAGTACAAAGTGTATTCATAAATAACCTTAAAAGATCTCGACAGAAAAATGTGATAATATCGTCTCGTCTTAATTTATTGTTAGGTAAAATGGCGACGATCAACAAGGTGCTGCAGTCCCGACAGGAGAAGGTGATCGACACCGGCAACAAGGTGACTGTGGTTGGAGTCGGCCAGGTCGGCATGGCGACCGTCTTCTCACTCCTCACACAGGTTAGTGGCATTTCTTATTTGCTTTGCGAAGTTTTCATGAAACCGAAGAAGCTTTACGTCTTTTTATTTCGTGCAGTTCTTAAAAAACTATTATTTATTTTATTTTAATTGGGATTCTCCCTTCAACCGCAAAAATACAGCATGTTCCTTCCTCGACTATAATAAACAAATAGATGTAAATGGAAACAATTATATTTATATATTTTCCGCTAAGCGATTAGAATGCTGCGCGACTGTTTGTTTGTGTAAAAGTCCATTGCTGGACTATGAGCATACGTGTGAGGAGTTTTCCATAGTATCCACGCTTGACTGCCCCGTTGGCCGAGTGGTCGCAAGTGCGACTGCGGGTCGGGAAAAGTATTAATGGGGTTTTTTTTAAAGTCTCGCAGTGTCCCATATATATTATTATTATAGTAATACCAGGATTATTAGGACTCATAACATAAATAGCGAAAAGTGTATGTTACATTGTACAATGCCATTAAGTACCGTAATGTGCACCTCTGCCTACCCCTTCGGGAATAAAGGGCGTAATGTTATGTTATGTTATCCACGCTTGGCAGACGGGTTGGCGATCACAGTTTTTTTTTATATGGACTTGTGTCCGTGCCGTTGTCATATTACAGATATATTGTTTTCATGGTCAAATTAGCCATCACTGTAGTTTAAAAAGTTCAAGTTATTAAATTTAGTGCGCTAGCCCGGCCTAAGATTGTGCTATACCTACCTTAATCAGCTACAGTACCCACGAAAAGAGTAGAGCCAGCGACAATTTGTTTCTGCCGTCTCCACATATGGATACATGGTGTGAATTATATTCAAAAGATATTACTTACGATCACTATAAAAGAAAGTAGTCGTTTTATATCATATTTCATCACCTCTGAGTTTGTTTCGGCATTTCTTCTCAGAGTAGTCAGTTAGGAAATGTCGACCTCATCGTTCGCTTGATAAAATTGACGTGTAAAAGTGCTGCCTTGTAGCCTATTTGCAGAAATAAATTCACTTGTTTCACATTAGCTTAGAATTTCTTATAACACCACGCTACAAGGCTTTTCTCTTTTTCTCGCTTAAAGTAATATTATTATGTTACGAACTGACTAAAATATTGCCCTTTTTGTTCCAGTCTTAGCTTTGTAACTTTATCCTTTATTTAACAGTATCATAAAAATAGTGTGCGTATCAATTTTTAGATTTCTACCTTATTAATTACGGAATAATTCGTACAAAATTCCAGTTCAAGTAAGGGGGTTAGACAACGACAAAAACTAGCCTATTTTTTAAGGGGGGAAAATCATCGAGGGAGTGTCAGACTCTTACTGACTAAAAACCACCCCGTTCCTTCTGCACGTCGAGCCGGAGCCCCGGTTACCCGTTAGGTTCTCCGCTACTCCGAACAAAAACGAGGCTATGTATCCAAACCGTTTAAAAAAAAATCACGTCAAAACGTCGCTTCGTTTTGCCATGAAAGACGGACAAATAAACAGAAACACAATTTTGCATTTATTTATAATATTATAAGTATTATAGCACGTTGGTTTCTGGAATGGTAACATGTAAATTTACTCGTTCACATTACATTACGAAACTATAAAATGTGCTCTGCCTCGATGACTGCCTCAATGGCCGAGTGGTCGCAAGTGCGACTGCCGGGCACGGAGTTTCGGGTTCTATTCCTGGGTCGGGCAAAGTATTACCGGGTTTTAAAAAAAAAACCTCAATAGTAGCACAGAGTCTGGAAATGTGTCCGGTATATGGCAATAGGCTCACCCCCTATTACATGGGACTCATAACATAAATAGTGAAAAGTGGATGTTACTTCTGTGTGCACCTCTGCCTACCCCTTCGGGAATAAAAAACTTGATGTTATGTCTCAACAATTTCAAGTGTTGCAAGAGAACTTACTAAGAGACACCTAGGTACCACTATACGCCTTGTGGTGGAGATTTCACTGTTATTGCATCAGCGACATAGACTCATTAAACGAATAATGTAATTATACATAGTTTTCCTTATTTGTACGTGGTTTTCATTACTATATGTGTACCCCCACACATATAGTAATGAAAACTTTTTACAGTTAAGTATATTTATGAATCCCATAATCCAATAGCTTCACTTTTAATTTTTTTTGTTGACGTTCAAAAGTGCAATCCTGGCCTAATTGAAATAAATGATTTTGACTTTGACTTTGACATATATCCATGTCATATGGGGTGAACTTGTTACCAGACTCCGTGTTGTTTCTATAAGTATCGGAAAACTAAAAAAGAAAACAATTATAAGTTTCTCAAACCGTAAATTGAACTAATACTACTGAATATTTTTCTATACTACTGAGAATATCATTATCACTTCTCAGAAAATTGTCTCGCCATTGTTACAGTAAAGTGTCGACCAAACAGACTTATAATTTTTACATTGTAGACCGTAAAGAATCCTTACTAATATTATAAATCTGAAAGTGAGTTTGTTTGTTTGTTCCACCTTCACGCCGTAACTACTCAACCGATTGCTTTGAATTTTTGCAGACGTAAAGTTAGAAGTCCGGATTAAATAATAGGGTACTTTTTAACCCGGAAAAATTGATATTCCCGAGGAAAAACAAAAGTATTGGTATAGATGGCGCTATGTGTATTGGTATATGTCACATAGGCTACTTTTTATTCTTTTGTGATGCGAGCGATGGCGAAGTCGCGGGTGAAAGCTATTATTATATAACTAGCAAACCCGGCGAACTCCGTAAAACATTTCCTTTAGTGATTAAAAGATGAAGAAAACTTCTTTTGCTATAAACCTCACGAAGCCCGAGACCTTTCCAACGAATGCGAAACCATGGAAATCGGTTCGTGCGTTCTGGAGTTATAGCGTGGGGAAGGAAAACCCGACTTATTTTTATATAGTAGATTAGTATACCATAATAATGTTCATGACCACTGAGATAAAGTTGAAAAGTTCGTCTGTTTGTTTGTTTGTTTGAACGCTCTAATCTTCAGAACTACTAGTCTGAATAGAGAAATTATTTTTGCATTGGTTTATCCATTTACCGAGGAAGGCTATAGGCTAATAAAACATTACTCCAAGATCAGTAGGAGCTGAGCAGAGCAGGTGGAACCGCGCGGGTAGAGCTAACTTGTTATACAATAGTTTTATTTATTTTACTTATTTATTTAAGTTTTATACAATACAATTGCATAAGGAGGACTTAATGCTAACAGCATTCTCTGCCAGTCATCCTTTGGGTAGTGCAGAAATGTATGTGGTAGGTGGTAAGCTGCAAAAATGTTAGTGGTAATCAGTTTTCCGCTGTACAATTTGACAGGAAAATCATTGCTCGATATTACTTATAATTTACAATTTATTATATTACGTTTAGTAGCAGTCGTAACAATACATAATTCATTTTTTTATTAAGATGTCTAGAACCTAACATGGCGTCATGCTTTTCGATCGCTGATGGGGGCAGACAGGTGTATATAACATGTCCAATGAACATAAGCAGTCAAATTTATTTTTCCAGTAATGTTAAGACTATCATTTTGTCAACTAATTTAATAAGTAACTTTCGTTGACCTCAGTTTTGTTTTGTTATTCTGAGACTGACTGAGTTGTGCAATAGAGGATGAACCTGTAACCCCAAACCGATTTAAGGCTCTTAAAGCCCAGTAGGTAAATACTTTGTCCAACTTCTTGTACGGGACTCGGATTTGGTTCTCGAAACCTATTTCTCGTTCAACAGATATATTAAAAACAAAATTGTTATTATATTGTATATCTATGGGAAATTCTATAAGATATTTTATGTTCGTGCTAATTAATAATGGAGATATTTGATGGTTCGTGTGTTATTGCTTATTTTATTATGTTTTATGTGTATAGAAATACGATTATTATTGTCATCCAAATGCGAATTACCAAGTATTTTTTTATGATGTTAATTTATGGAGATACTTACTAGATTCTGTACTGGGGGTAAAAATAGCTTACTAACGGTGGTCACCGATGATCCCCCCCGCTCCTAGCGTTTAATGTGTAAACTACCACTTAAGTAACTTACTTGTGTGGACAACAATCAACTTACAAGAGACCTAACGATTGTTATTATTTTAATTGGAATCGTGTAATTCCCACACCGGCTTAGTAATCCCAAGTGTTTGCCACTCGAGTATATTTGCAGTTTGCTAATCACAAAGGTAAATTACCTGTGTATTGTGTGTTGTGTGCTATCTGTAGTTCGCTGTGTATGCTTGGATAAACGTTCTGGTGGTTGTTCAACATGTTATTTCTTTTCTGCTATTTTTTATGGCCAAATAAATGGCTAATTAACTCGTCGAGTACCGGTTTTATAGACACAATTAAAGAACAATAGGTCGCGGTCACCGGTGACCGCTTGGTGTTTGACAGTTTAAAGTTAAAATTACTACTCAATCCCCGAATTTTTTAAGAAAAAAACAGATATGGATTTTTTTTAAAATAATTGAGAAATAGAGTGTAGTTTATGTATCAAAATGTTAGCTTTCATATCACACCAACAGCCTATGGATGCCAACTGCAGAGCAAAGCCGCTTCTCACACGTTTGAGCATTAATTACCACGCTTGTTCAATGCGGGTTGGCGATTTCAAACTTATAATTAGAAGTTATAAGCTCAGGTTTACTCACGATGTTTTCCTTTACCGTTTGTCAGTGATGTCTAAATAATCTTAGAAAGTACATTTAACTCGGAAAATGTCACATTGGTATTTGCCGTTGGTAGGTTTCGAACTCGCACCTTCATGCATCCTAAGACATGAACCTCCGGGCCACCATGACTTTACTATATTTATATATTCTCTTAAAGTAAAGTACTTTTATATACATATTTTATTTTAATATAGAGAAAACATGAAATGTAAATAATAACTAATTTGCATGCCAATTATGGTGCGCTGATCTATTTATATTGTTTGTCAGACCTATATCATGTACCACAAATAAATAAATATTATTAGAACACGTAAT